AAAAGGGTTAAATGGAGGTTGTTTCACATTTTTACCCGTTTGTAACAAAGTGGTTTTAGATGCATTTGAAATGTGAATGTAGAATTTTGTATAAACGAGTAAGAAATGAAAGGGTGGTCACTTAACTCTTTTTTAGTTTTAAAAACTTATTTCGTCATTTAATTCTTTTTAAGTTTTAAAAGATTATCAAACTTTTGGTTTTGTGTTAATTAGTCACTTAACTTTTGTTTTGGTCACTTAATTTTTATATTTGTGTTCACTTAATCACCTAATTTTTAAAATTATGCTTATTTAGTCATTAAATTTTTGAAAAAATTTAAAAGTTTAGTAATTAAATGAGAATAATTTTAAAAGTTAGGTGATTAAATGTGATCAAACCAAAAGTTAAGTGATTAAATGAGCACAAAACCAAAAGTTTGATGATCGTTTAAAACATAAAAAGAATTAAGTGACCAAATGAACACAAAACCAAAAGTTAAGTGATCAAAAATGATTTAAATCCTTATATAAATATGGACTTTCAAAGTGGTTTGATCACAAAAAATGACGAAAGGGGAGGCTTATTTAAACAAAGTAATTAAGTCATTTAACGTTTGGTGTTAAAGTATTAAGTGTGGGCTACATGTTATTATATGTTATCACATCTAAAATGTCTATCTCATCATCGTAATCATATTTTGGTCTTATATGGAAATAAACAATATCAAATAAAATGTGCTAACACTTCACATTTTCTATCTTTTTTTTTTAAATGTTTGTAATTTCTATTTTTCCAACTTCTTTTATTTTATTTATTTGTGTTATAATATTAATAAAAACCATATAAATTAAAAACACATATAATTTAATTAAATCCTACATTAAAAATAACATTAAAAAACTAAAAATGATATTACAAAGCAAAAAAAAAAAAAAAACATTGAAAAAAAACATACAATAGTATTAAATTTAAAAATACATAAACCCGATACACTATTTGTCGTCTAAATATCTCTGTTCGATCTTCATTTTCATTTTTCGTTTTTCGGAGCACTTCCACTTGTCTCCGTGATATATTATCCTTGCTAGTTTGAAGAATTGTCAAATCTTTCGTCATGCGATTTTTCTCGGCTTGTTGACGTAGAAACTCCAAATGCTAATTGCGATGTCGTTGTGGACGTCAAATCTCTTTCTGTTTTGTGTGCTCTGGAAGTCTATTTTCGCTTTCCTCCACATGTCGTTAAGCCCGAGTTGCCTTGTCGCGCTCTATCGTCGTTGAGGCGGGGAGATCTCGTCGATGTTGTTGAAATCGCCTGGGAGCTCATCGGTGTTGACATTGAGGTCGATATTTTTGCATGCATTGGAAACGTCAACCGAACCCGAGTCGCAAGACCTCTTGGATTGTTGTTTCGATATTGGCGTTTTAAACCATTTTGGGTCATTTTTAACAATCTCCCCAAAATTTTCACGCTTGAAAACATGACCCGTCTTGACATGATATTGCTCTTTCATCGTTTCAAAAACATCGAAAGCGGTCGCACCACTTTACTTGTACTAGGAAAGTTTGTTGTAGATGAAATTGAACTTGCTGCACTTCTTATTGATATGAGTCTACTTGCCACTCAACGTATCATGATTACGATATCTGTAATCCTTTTTCAAAATTGCACGAAATTTGCTGATCACAACTTCCAAAATAACATCTTTTCTCATATCGTTTCCCTTAGTTAGGTTGTTTGATGTCCCGCACCACGACACCATCAATGCATACTCTTCCTCTAGTGTCTACCATGTTGTAGATTTTTCGTCTGATTGCTCTACCACAACCTCTTTCCCTTTCTTTCTTGCTCTCCATTTCTTGGCCATCGGTTTCCGACTACCCCTGATTTGCATCTCGGGAACCGTTTCTTGTGTGGTTGTTTGTGGCATGAAATAAAATGTTGAAAAGGTTGTGTAGGAAATTGTAGTTGGGTGAGGCGAGGTTAAAAAAGTTGCTGGAAAATGGTAGTTGTGATGAACTTTGCGTGTTGAGGATGTTCGTGTACGCCTCATATTGTGTAAAACCGAGAGGAGGGGATGTGTTTGTGTTTGGAGGAGGATTGTTTGAGTTTGATCCATAGTAGGTTGAATGTGAATTGTATGAGTTGTGTGTAAAAATTGATATCGAGAGAAATATATGTATTTTGTAGGTAAAAATTAGATATGTATTAGTACTTATAGTAGAGTTAAAATGTAAAAAAATTAATATATATATATATATATATATATATATATATATATATATATATATATATATAATTTTGACCGTTTGTGAACGGTCAAAATTGTGACCGTTTCCGAACATTCAAAGAAAAAAACCACGTTACCACCATAATGTCAACTACCATAACGACCAATAACGCGTCCTGGGGACGGTGTTCATAGCGTTATGGCGCCGTTTTTTGGATGCCATATCATATTAAAGTATATGGATGTTGCCCGTAGCAAACAGTCTAAAGGATCAACGGTTCAAGCTCTAACACATAAATTTAGTATGTTATGTAAGTTTTTAGTTTTATTTTTTTTTTCTCACCAAAGCATATCTTTGCAATATTTACTAATTTTACGAAGTTACTGTTCCATCAAAGCCATCGAATGCTATCTATTTAGGTTTCGAGAATACCATGTGAACAATATCTTGAGAAATTTGTAGCCATCTTTCAATTTTCTGCCAGTTTGCATTATGTTTTGATTGATGGTATTTCAATATTATATTATATTATATTGTTCTTATAATTGTTTGTTTTTTCACAAGACGAGATATATGCATAATATATCTTGGTGGGACGTGAGTGAAAGTTAAAGATGGTCTGGACGTCGCAAATGATGACACTTTGTTATCAAGGGTGGTGGGAATAACATGTGTTGTCAAGGGTGATGGTAATAGAAAAAATGATTGATCGACTGTTAAAATAATCTAATTTTGTGATTTGTTGGTTGTTCTCCTGGATGTTCATCTATATTCCTCTCCTGATAAATGGGAGTGGGATCTGGATGATGCATCAGACTTGTTTTTAGTGAGGTCGACTAGAAGAAGAGTTGATAATGAGAGGTTGCCTTCGGGTTTAAGACAGACTAGGTGGAATCGGTTTCTCCCCAAAAAATTGATATTTTCTTTTGGCGTGTTTTGCTAGACATGATTCCTATTAGGTTGAAGTTGGTGGAAAGGGGAGTTGATTTGGACTTCGTCCTTTGTCCAACGTGCCTTATCGCTCAAGAGGATGTCACTCATATTTTTCTTCATTGCGAGGTTGCCAAGCAGTTATGGAGACGTATTGCCTTATGAGTTTGATGTGGATATTCCTTCCTTTACTTCTTTGGGGGAAATGGAGTGGGTGGATTCTAGACCAGTTGTGAGAATGAAACGGGTGATTATTGACTCTATTTTTTTGGTCAATATTTGGGTGCTATGAACCTATCAGAATGGCTTAATTTTTTCTCATCCTAAGCCAAAAAAGGATTTATTGTTTGATTCTATTGTAGAAAATTCGTTTCATTGGTTTACATTTCGGAACTCTAAGCCTATGATTAATTGGGTTTCGTGGTTACAAAACCCAATCCTGCATTAATTGGTTTTTGTTGCTAGCTTCTTGCTAGTTTTTTTCGTTTTGTGTTTTTAATATATTCGACTGTCGTTCAAACAAATAACAATCTAATCTTGATCATAGTATATTCCATTAAATGATGTATTAGACTTACTTTTATGAGTCTACATACAAGGTTGGTGCATAAGTGAATCATTATATAACTATAATGTTGTGGTTCATGATTTGAAACTATCTCCATACTAGGAGCTCGATGATTGTGTGCAACTTTGCAATAAAAGAGTGAGGGAAAGTTCTAAAACAATGGAAAAAAGGTAAATGTTTGTGTATCTCTAGCATAATATGTTACTATCTTGTTTGTGTTTTTCAAGTGGAATTTGCCCCTGCTAAAGAGACGTTTCGTGTTAGGCATTTGGGTGGAGGTGGGGAAACACTCACCACATGTGTATTACCATTACATGTCAAAAACAATAATGTAGTGGAATAAGTCATATATAATAGTAATATCTCATTTATAATAGTTGTATGTCATATAATTGTATTATGCATGTATAGTGCCTAAGTCTAGCAACGTGTTTGATATGACACAAAGTAATGGCAATAACATCATTAATAGTATGTAACTATGTGTAATTGACTAGAAGTAATTAGTCATGTTTCGTCTTTATAAAAGAATGCCTATATAAGGATTATTGATACTTAGAACTAAATGATGCGTTAGAGATTTGGATGGAGGTGGGGGATGGGGTAGAACTTAGAAGGACCAATTTCAATTAATATTATATCAAGAAGTAAGAGATAATAAAATTATAAAAATGATAAATTAATCATTTTGATGACTTAAGTATGAAACAAGTGAGAAAAATATTTTTTCAGGGATGATCAATGTTAAAATCGAAAAAACATTTGAATCTAATAATTTTTTTAACGGCAAACACACACTCTATATTTTATTATTAAATTGCATATTTTGTTTTTAGTAAAATTTAAATGCCCATAACTCCAATTATGGACTCTCACAATCTCTCTTTTTCCTTCCTCTCTATTTCTCACTTTTCTACTCCCTTCTATCTCTCTTTTTCTTCCCAAACTTACAAGCAAATTACCATTAAACATCATTTTGGATGTCTTGTAAGAAGGTAGTGACTTGATATTTTGGAAGATGTAACACTGATATTATATCCATTCCATATAGCTAATAGCTTTACTGCTGAATGGCATTTCCAGTATGTCCGCTGGACTACAAACGTTTGGTTAAAAAAAATTACATAGCAGTAAAATATAATTTGCTCTGTTATTTTATTATTTAGTTAACAATTGTGCCCTCGTTTTTTCTTTTTCTTAAAAAAAAATCTTTGTAGGTAAGTCCAACATAATTTTCTTTTCTTTTTTGAGAAAAATAGATATATATATTTTTTTCTGTCGAACTCGCATCACGGCCTTTTGGAACCTACAACTTACGAGCCTTCTTCGCAAGCAAAGCTAGAAACCGCAACGCAAATATCTCAGGAAATATCTAAACGCCGATCGGCGCTTCCATCACCTTCAAGAAGGTTTGATTCACAGTCTTATTACTGTTTTCAAATTTTGTCCCATAGATAAATTCATCTTGCTACGTAATCACATATTCTTTTCATTCGTACTAGGGTTTTACATTCGATATCTGTAAACGATCGATTTTCGTGCTAGCTTGGGCAAAGTAACTGTATTTATTGGTCTTCTTTGCTGTAAATGTTGATTTACCTCTGTTCTGGAGGACATAAACAGATCTGTTATGTAGTTGTAGCTGTGTTGAATTTTATAATAGTTTGGTTCATCATCTGATTTATTCATTCGTTTTAATTGGGAAATATCATAGCCGTGTTTTCGTTATGCAGTGGATATATAAGTTAAATTTGAGATGCATTTTCGTTTTGTAACACAGTATACCAGTATAGATAAGTTTTCCCCATAAGTTGATTACTTTTTGCTGATTCTGGAAAGAAGTTCCTTATTAACATCGACTTCATACACGTATTTGGTGCTAGAACATCCACCAGTTGACATTCTTGAATCATTTACATCGTTGCATTTATGTTGAAGCTTACTATAGATTTATGCGATCTTAATCATTATGCCATCTCTTAGTTGGTGTATATTCTATCAATATCTTTTATACTTCACGACTTCTATTGAGTTATGTGTTTTTTCCCTCCATCATGGCCAGCATAAATGGCTGGGAGAAACCGATATCCTCGTGAGAATCATCGTGGGTATCCCCCAGAAGGGCCTCCTTCTCGTGTTCCTATGTCTCGACCCATGCCACCTCATCCCATTATGTTGGAAGAAGAACTTGAAATACAACACCATGAAATCCGTAGACTCTTGGGTGAAAATCGAAGGTTAGTTGATGATCGCATTGCTCTGCAACAAGAGTTAGGTGCTGCAAGAGAAGAACTTAGGCGAATGAACATTGCAATTTCTGACATTCAAGCAGAAAATGAAATGCATTCAAGACAGCTAATTGAGAGGGGCCTGAAGCTTGAAGCTGATCTTCGTGCCACTGAACCTCTGAAAAAAGAAGCTGCACAACTCCATGGTGAAATAGAGAGACTTAATTCTATTAGGCATGATCTATCTGGTCAAGTTCAGACTCTCACAAAAGACCTTACAAAACTGCAAGCTGAAAACAAGCAACTTCCAGCTTTAAGAGCAGAGGTTGAGGGACTACACAAGGAGCTTATGCATGCTAGGTTTGGCAATTGACAATTGACAATTAACATCCCTGTTATTGTTGTAAATGTCTTGTATGTATTAAAAGATGGGATCTTTTTAACTATTGTGATCCCTCCTGTAGAGTTGCTATTGATTATGAGAAGAAGGCAAGTGCTGAGTTGATGGATCATAAACAATCAATGGAAAAGAATTTAGTTTCCATGGCTCGTGAGGTTGAAAAGCTTCGTGCAGAACTTACAAATTCTGATTCTAGATCATGGGGTGCTGGTATATACTTAGTTACCTCTACTTTCTTATAGTGTTTCTCACTGTTATCTGATACTTGGTTGTTTAGGTGGATCATACAGGATGAATTATGGCAATCCTGATGGCAATTATTTGCGTGCTTATGGTGATGGATATGGGCGTCCAATGGTAGGCTTGCTAAATCATTCAAAGTCTTATATACCCATCTGATCACCACACATGTAATTTCAAATTTCAAATTTCAACTTTCATTTGCTTGATTAAGTTTACTCAATGCCCTCAGGGTGCTGGTGACAATGTTCCATTGTATGGTTCAAGCTCTACACCATGGGCAGAGGTGGAAAAATCCCGAATGACACGTCGCTGAAATGCAAATGGTTTATTTTACAAGTTGAAATGTGACAAATGTCCCATCTGCCCTCAGTTATCATGGCTATCTGTTATGCAGAGGGTAGAAGTGTATGGTTCTTCTCAGTTTGTGTTTACATCGGTAATCCTTTGTTTGATCTCATTAGCCATCTTTGTTATGTGAAATAGGAATATTGAGTTGCTTTTAACCACAAAATGCAACAATGGGTCTCTCTTGTGGCTATCATTTATGTCATAGACTCGTAGTAAAGTATTATTATTTAGAAATTATTAAGCCGTGTCTGTTTTTATTTAAATTCAAAATTTCCCCCATCCATTTGTGATCCTCTTATTTTAAATTGCATCACCACATAGTTAAAGCTAACTGGACATCGTTGTTACATATCCAAAGTTAACTGTTTCAGCTCTGAGTGTAGTAAGTATCAGTTTGGTGGTGCAGAAGAAGAGAATTACTTGTATTGGATGAAAGTTATCATCTCTGCATATTGACTAGACAAAAGCTAGTGTTGAGTTGGAATATAAACATATAATATCATATACATTAGAAGATAGAGGTCTAAGTATCGAAGCAATGATCATAGCAACTTGGAGACATTACAACTTCTGTATATTTTTTGAGGTGGTAGAAGTTTGGAAGAGTGCCACTTTACAGTCTACCTTCTTTATGATAGCTCTTTAGGGCATGACTGTAGAGAGAAGATGTAGTTTCATAATGCTTGATTTGACCTATATATGCATCTTTTTAAGACAGATGTGGTGATATCCATTTAAGGATGATGAGTGTGGTAATAAGGGACTTGCTAGTTTGGCTGCTTTGATCTTTTTAACTAAAGTAATTAGATTCATGTTCTGTTAATAGTGATTTGACATCCCATGAAGTATGAACATTGAGAGGCCATATGAGTGGTATTGTGAGGTGTGTCATTACTGATTAGGTGCTGAATGGCATCAGTGTTTTTCAAGAAGCTTTGTGGAAGTATGATGCAGCGAATCAGTTTTAGGTTTCCACTGTGTATGGCAAGTATTTGAAACTAGGAGAGGAGGATTGTTGGTATATGTCTCCAAAAATTGTTGATTGGCATGTTGAGGGAGGTTGGTTTCTTGAGTTATAAATCATGTGAAGTGAAGCAATTTGAAGAGACTTTGGAAGACACTCTGAAGCAGAAGGGGGTGAACATTGAAGAATCTTGTGTATCTTGTTTGGGTTCTTATTTCACCTGATTGTAATGCTTCAGAACTCGGGGGGTCTTCTTCTCATCACCATGCACATCTGGAGGAAGGGAGGTGGACTGGGCATCTCACATGGGGCTGAGTTCTCGTATAGGCAAGTACTCTGTCTCAGTTTTGTGGGTAAAATAGGTTCTCATTTATGTGTACATAATTTTTTTAGCTACCCTATTTATATATATTATTTATTATTATTCGTTTACTTGGATGATTTGCTCTGTTAGGTATGCGCTCATTTTAAATCTCTTGGGGTTTATTGGGTTGTTAGTTTTATATGCATCTTTACAATCTTTTAGGGAATGATTAGGTTGCTAATTTTTATATGCTTCTTTTTCAATCGCATTACAACAAAATTGTCTTTTCGATCTTACTAGAGTTCCCATCATCACCCCCCCACCCCACCTGTTGATTACCTTGTTGCTGCAGTTTGGTGTTTTTTTTGAAAATGAAATAATATGCCTAATTTGCTCATGCCAGTGGAGTTATCTGGCAAAGATTTGGCCTTTCAGGTACCCTTAGACAATGTTATGGTTTCTACATTAGGTCCCTATATTATCTGGAAGTGTGATGCTTCATCACTATATTATATTAGATGACACAAATGATTCTGATGTTTGGATAACATTCTGACAAGTTTAAAGCCCATGAGAGATGAGTAAGCTTGTTGCTTTTGGATGTGGTCAGCTTATCTCCAATCACCACTGGAGGAAATAATGAAAACACTTCTGGTTATACAGCCAAAGCCCAAAAGGAGATATGGTTATTCTGTATGAGTTGCAAGGTTAGCTTTTAAGATTTAAGAGGGTGTCTGGTTTTGGAAGGAAGGGAATTGGAATCTGAAGGAATTGTAATATTTGAAGTGGTTAGTTGGTAGGAAATGGAGTGAAACTTGGTAATAAAAGTAGATTTTTATTTATAATTAGGTTTAATAGTTATGGAATATGTAGAGGAATTTCCGTCTTTTAATAAAAAAGGAAGAATAAATTTGAACTCCTTCCACCCAACCCCTAGGAATGGTGAAATCCATCAAAGACGGAATTTGAAGGAATTGAATCCCTCCAAAATCCACCAACCAAACATGTGCTATGGTTTTTCGTTTGAAAGCAATAGGATTTCATTTGACACATTCAGTCAAATGATCAAGTTCTCCATGCTCTAATCCTATTGGAATTTGGAGGTTTCCTTTGTTAAACAATTTTAGTTTATTAGGGAGTGCTAATCTAGCTTTGACATGTATTTTTCCTATAGAATAGATTTCTATGTCTCTGGCCTTTGTTGATGCTTTCCTTAGGTTGACTTTTATCATCTCCTGCTATAGAATATTGTGTCAGTTGATAGTTTTATTTGTTAAAACAATTCCTTTACTGCATAAAATTTGGTTACTTTCTGCCCCTTCACCTAGGCTTGTCATATAACCCTTTAGTAGTGACTTCAAGGGCTAAATGCAAGAAATAGCAAGGCTTTCCTTTATTTTTTTTTCCTTATAGCACTACTTTCATTTCTTTTTTTCTTATTGAGAAAGCTACCCAACTATAACATTGTACTTTCAGGTTTTTTTGTTTCTCTATTCTTATGAGGATATTCTACTTTGAAGTAGAATAGCAAGACTTTCCTTTATTTTTTTGCCCCTAACTTGAAAGTTCCAGACGTATATGCTACATTAAGAAAGAAAATCCACTTGTGCTTGTAGTGTGAATACATGATACGCTGAATAATACTTTGAAATCTTGATCTCTAGAGTCGAAATAACGATTCATTTTTATTTTCATTGATTTCTACAGCTTGTGTTTTGCTGCTATTAGAAGAGGATTTTTTTTAATATGTTTGGTCAATCTTTTAGGTTGCATAAATCTTTGATTGAAGCAATGTATTTAAGTCCCATGTTAAATTTTTTCTTTTGCTTGTTTTGGTTTTGCAGGTAGACAATGTTGCAATGGTTTGGGAGAAGCAGGTACCATATATCTTATTATACTAAACCCCGATAATTAAAATTAAAACCCCAGCGACATAAGAAACAAAGCTAACTAAGTGCATGCATTGAATGTTGTTTTCTTTATGTTTAAATCTAATCAAGGATCATTAATAATATCTAGATCTATAAACCAATAAACATGGAGCAACCATAGGCCCCTTCAGCAGTCCGAGTATTCATGCATTATTTCTTCAAGGGATGAAGAACATGACTAAATGAAATGGGTGTTGCAGGTTGGGATTTAAACCCACATTTTTTGTTGAGTAGGATCGTCACATACAAAATAATTATTTATTGAATAGGATTGCCACATCGACCCCATCATGTGGGCACACAGCATACCAAATAACACCTGTTATAAGTATACATTTTGAAAAACTTTGGTTGTTGGCTACCATTTCAAACATTGAAATTAACAAAAAGATGATTCACTTCCTTCCTAAATCTTGGCAAACCCTTAAATGTATTTTAACGCTTACAATTTTATTAAAGATGTTATTTATGAAATCATTGATTTAATAAGTTGGTTTGTTTTTGACTTGTCTAACGACTTTAAGTTGGGGGTGTTTGATAGTTACTGATCATTCGTATTTGAATGACATTGCTTATGAATGAAACCATATGATGAAAATGTCCATTTTATTATTCTGCTTAAAATAATAATAATAATATATACCAGAAAACCATCAAAACAAGTTACTATCCTTCATCTATTTTGCACTACTAAACGCTCTACCAAAACAGGTTACTATTCTGACATCAAATGAATTTGCACTACAAATCAATATAAGCGTTAATCTACAACCAACCCGAGTCAATATATTAACCACACTCCAATAAAAGAATCAACTGCACCCATTGTATTACCACAATTCACCTTAACACCATCAAACATTTGTGGAAAATCAAATTAAATTTACAAAAATAACCTTGGTGTAGTATCTGTAGCCATTAGGACTTTTGATGATTATCAACAACTTAGGATTTGAGTGATAAAGCTTGGTCAAGAAAACTGTCGTCATAGGGATCAGGAACTCAATTTCATCTTTCACTAATCTACAATTTCTAAAAAACCCATTTGAGTTTAAAAGTCCAAACATCTCATTTTGAACAAATCTTTGTTTAGAACACACAAATGTACACAAACATCAAATTTCATACATGTTGGGTTAAAATCACAAGGGTCTATGTGCAACATAACAACAAACCCAATGATAAAATTGAACTTTCATCAACATTATCAAAAGCAACTGTAGTACATATACCAACACATCTTAAGAATTAAGGTCCCGTGAACATTGAAGAATCAATCCGAAGCATAGGAAAAATTGATTTTTACAGAGACATGAATGATCAAACCTGTCAATTTGGTCAAAACAGAAAAAACCTGACCGGTGCCGGAGGAGGAAGAAACGGAGGGATGGCGGTGGGAGTTAAAGCAACGGCTAGTGCAAGTGCTTCTTGCGATTGAGGAAGTCATGATATGTTGAAAGGACATGAAAAAGGGGCAAATGTGCGAATTTTATTATCCAGCAAATGTTTTGACTGAATCATACATAACTTACCCGATTTAATTAGAGGTAACAAAAACCTGAATCAAAGAGCCATTAACAGGCATATCTTAGTCATGTTCATTACAACATGGAAGTTTTAGTTGGTGAAAACTTGTATGTAATATTTGCTTACATAAATATATAAAATATGTTACTAATGTATGTATTTACTTAATTACTTGTATATTTTTAATAGCACTGCATATACTAGACTTGTTTGTTAATCATTAAGCCAAAGTCAAGTCAAAGTAGGACATTGCAAGCGGCTAAAGTCAAGTCATCATTGTCTAAGATTCTTCCAAATGTTACCTACCATTCTTACATATATATCAAACTCTTTATTTGTTTATAAAAATTTGTCGCCAGAAGGAAGTTTTGGTTGAGTATTGGAAATTCAAATACAGTGAACAGGATGGTTTGTTACAAGTACGGTTGTTTAAACTTTTTATACTAGTAAATTAATAAATATTTTTCATTATATAAACAACCAAAAGAATTTAAAAATACAATGAATGATATTTAATGCAATAAAAAAACATGAAAGTTTGCTGAAAAGTCAATCAATGTCGGTGTCATACAAAACTTTAGGAGTGTGTCATAATCCGAAAGGGACACGTACGTCGAAGGTGGTTGATTTGAAAATATTGACTGATGAATTGTGATATATCACGTCTTTTCGACTCATCTCTATCTCTCTCTCTCACACACACACACACACACACATATATATATATATATATATATATATATATATATATATATATATATATATATATATATATATATATCACACACACACACACAGCAAACCGGAAGTTAAAAAATGGAGTGTTGGGGTTTGAGTAAGTGTGAATCATGGTTATATTGGTCGTTGATGATACATATTCTTGTGGTCTGGCAAACACAAGGAGATTGTATAGAAGAGGAGAGAAATGCACTGCTCGAAATCAAAGCATCCGCATACGATTCTAAAATGGACCATTTTCTCCCCACTTGGATTGATCATGGTGGCGACTGTTGTGATTGGGAGAGGGTCAACTGCAACATAATCACTGGACATGTGACAGATCTTTTCTTGTACAATTTGAGAGGGATGAATGATGTTGATATGGAGCTTCAATCCAGATACCAAGGGAACAAGTTATGGCCATTGAATGTTTCCTTGTTTCTTCATTTTAAAGAGTTGAAAACTCTCAATTTGTCATATGATTTTCTTGATAAAGAGATGATTATGAAAACAGGTAACTTTATGTTTAATTGCCTTAAGTGTTACTTGGTACTATTTCCTTTGTCATACAATGAGATCATATTCTTGAATGATATAATCGAGTGACATTTTTGAAAGCTAAAACCTTTTCGTTATTTCAGGACTTGGAAGGCTATCGAGTTTGAATAAGTTAGAGACACTCGACCTTAGTAAGAATTTTGATCTTGACAACGACATACTTCCATCATTGACGACACTCACTTCACTCATAGTTTTGGATCTTAGCTACACTGGATTGAATGGATACTTCCCTACCAATGGTAGGTTTTTGTCTTTCATTTCTTCTTTTTCGACAAAAGAAAACATTTAAGTAAAAGATAGCGAGAATCTAGAGATTACAAAGGGTAATTACGGTACGTAATTACAACATGTACATGTGGTGCTAAATGGACCCCATGGACGGGACATATATGTGAATGTGCGGTCCACTATCATGTGAGTGAGATTTAGGCTCATTTATGATCACCTTTACAACATTAATCTTACCAATTCTGCCGGCTACGATATTTCTTTCTATTGTTGATCTATAGAAAAAAAGAAATGGGCGGAATTTTGTTTGCAATAAATGCATATATATTATAAAGATAGTTATACCATTGTTATATGAATTGCAGAATTCGCAGCTTTAGAAAACTTGGAGACGTTGGATCTAACCCAATGTGAATTTAATGGTACAGTTGAGATTCAAGGTAGTCAATATCATCTTATAACCATCATGCCAATATAGTCATTTTGGATTCATGCAAAAATTAATCCTTCTTCTAAGAACCACTAGCTATTTCATGTGTTGAAATTCGAAATATGATTGTTTTCTTGGGAAAAGAAAATTGGTAGTAAAGACTAATTTTTTGTTGTAGAGACGTACAATCGAGTCATTTTGTTAGCTATAAACTTAAATTTTTTAAATTAATGGATAACCATATTAAAAACTGATAAAAGTATACCTTCTTCTAAATTACTTTATCAATATATATCAGACTTGAGCATACTCTTATATGAATGACTGTTTCAATTCTTAAATATAGGTTTTGAGAGTGTTCCCATATTGAGCAAGTTGAAAACTTTAAATCTTGGATCCAACGAATTTAATGCAAGTGTTATGACATTTTTAAATAACCTTTCATCACTTAGAAACTTGGATCTTAGCAACAATCCATTATCTGGACTATTTCCAGCTCAAGGTACGGGCTATGACTACAGTTTACCCAGAACATCTTTCATGTACTTATATATTGTTCTTTATAAAGCCGTTTAAATATTTGCAAGTGTACATCTAAAAATAGCATACATAATACATAATATATGCTTTTTTTTTTTTTTTTTTCATGTGACAGGATTAGCTAAGTTAATGAACATAGAGAAGTTGGATTTAAGTTATACTGGGCTTGATGGCACACCACATATCCAAGGTTAAATGAAGAATTTGCTTTTCCTAGCTATTCTAGGTGATTTACTTAATTGTAAATAGTTCAGAATGTATAAAGTTCTTGAACACTAATAAATCCTAATCTCTTTCATAGCTAAAAGTTTTGTAAGACCATGCATGGTTTCTAGTAACATTTTTTTTAATTTTTTTTACAGTTTGTAAGAGCTTATCAAGATTGAAAAAGCTAGAGAGTCTAGTTATTTCAAATAATAATTTCAACAAGAGCATCATATCATGCTTAAGTTCCCTCCCATCCCTCAAGATTCTCGATCTTTCATATTCCGTGTCATTGGGAGAATCCTTCCCTGACCAAGGCATGTTTTATCTTAAAAGAGTCATCATTAAATAAACCAAAAATACTAATTAAATATCATCTTCATATTATATATTTTTGGCTAATCATTTTATTAAATTGCTTTATCTGCTTCAGAACTCCCTAATTTGCACGATTTGGAAGTCCTCCTCATGACAAACAATGGTTTCAATGGAACACTACCAATGAAGGGTAAATGATTAGTACATATATAATTGGTTTCATAGTTTATATTCTGTAACCTATACATGTAATCATCTCTTGTCATCTAGCTTTGTCATCTTTCCACTATCTGGAGGTCTTAGATTTGAGTGACAACAATTTTGCTGGGAGCATCCCGTCATCAATACAAGCATTATCTTCTCTTCGAGTTGTCTCATTCACTAACAACGAGCTTAATGGCTCATTATCTGATCATGGTACGTAATTAAGTTACCTCAATCATGCATGTAAACTTTTATGAATTTAAAAGGGATTATGTGAGTTGAAGTCAACCTTTTTGTAACTACTTGTAATAGCCCAACCACTTTGTCATCTGGCAGGATTATGTGAGTTGAAGAACCTTCAAGAAATGGATCTTAGTCACAACATGCTCGATGGAATCCTGCCTCAATGCTTCAACAATCTATCATCTCTTAAACTGCTCGACATTTCTTCCAATCGATTCACGGGAAAACTTCCACCATCACTGATTGCTAATCTAACATCTCTCGAGTACATTGATTTTAGTTATAACAAATTCGAAGGTTCATTCCCGTTTAGTTCATTCTCCAATCTTACAAACCTTCAAGCAGTTCAATTCATAAGCGCAAATGACAGATTTGAGATGGAAACAGAAGATCCTATAGGTTGGATTCCAATGTTCCAATTGAAAGTTCTTGTGCTCTCAAGCTGCAATATAAATAGACATAAAGGAGGTGTCGTTCCTACCTTTCTACTTCACCAACACAAGTTACAAGAACTACACATACCTCACAACTCATTGGAGGGAAATTTTCCAAATTGGTTGATTGAAAATAACACAAATCTGGAAGTTCTTAATCTAAGGAACAACTCATTTGGTGGTATTATTTCTATGCCTTTTTATAGAAATTCTTACATGCGGTGGTTGGATATATCGGGAAATCACATAATAAACTCTATTCCTAGCGATATACCAGAGTTTCTTCCCAATATAACACACTTAAATTTTTCAAGAAATGCTTTCAATGGTGTTATCCCATCTTCTATAGGTGATTTGAGTGAATTACAGATACTGGATTTATCCGATAATGAGTTATCAGGAGAAGTACCAAAGGCGCTGCTTACAGATCTCTCTCTTTTAAGCATATTAAAACTATCAAACAACAAATTCCATGGCGAGATACTCTCAGGAAACTTAAGCTTGGGTAACATCGAAAGGGTCCATTTAGATAGCAATTATTTCACAGGGAAGATTGGAATCAAGAGTAAGAACAAGTTTGAATTCATGACTGTTCTCGATATTAGCAATAACTTTTTTACAGGTGTCATCCCTTCTTGGATAAGCAACATGGGTACAATCGGTGCCTTTTCTCAACTTGTGATAAGAAACAATAGTTTTAAAGGTCGGTTTCCATGTGGAACAGCGTCATTCTCGTTTTTTGATATCTCACATAATTCCTTCTCTGGTTCGATACCTTCTTGCTTAAACCTGCGACATGTCGAGCATCTTCATTTGGGTTCTAATAGATTCATCGGACCAATACCGAGCTTCTTCCGTAATTTGACTAGGGTTTTGACTTTGGACATCGGCAACAACAACTTGTCGGGAATCATTCCTGAATTTCTTGGTGACTTATCTACACTAAGGATTCTTCTTTTGAGAAAAAATAAGTTTACTGGTTCTTTGCCGAATCATTTGTGTCAGTTAAGTGATGCGAGTTTGATAGATTTATCGGGTAACACCCTTTCTGGTTCGATACCTAGTTGCCTACGAAACATCACGGGTCCAAAATACCTTGCTTTCATGAAAGAAACTGTTTCATCATACCCTATAAGTTCATATTACTATTATAAGGGTGTTCTAGATAGACAATTTACTAGTAAAGACCGCAGTGAAATGTTTGAAATACAAGATGAAGTTCAGTTTACAACAAAAGGCCTCTCTCTCCCCTACAAGGGCGATGTTCTTGATATCATGTCAGGATTGGATCTATCGAGTAACAAATTAACAGGTGAAATTCCAGAAGAACTAGGGTTTTTGATCCAGATTCGTGCTCTGAACCTGTCTCATAATCATCTGACTGGACCCATTCCGGTGACTTTTTCAAATCTTGCAAATATTGAAAGCTTAGATCTTTCTTCCAATGGTTTGACTGGAAAAGTTCCATCAGAACTGATTAAGTTGACTTCTTTATCTATTTTTAATGTTTCTCACAACAATTTATCAGGAAGACTCCCAGAAATGAAATCTCAATTTGGTACTTTCACAGAGACGAGCTATGAAGAGAACCCACTTCTTTGTGGACCGCCACTTGCGAATAGATGCAAGACTAATTCAGTGTTTACCAATCAATTAGTTGAAGAAGACACTGAGAAATGGTATAACATCGATATGACATCCTTCTATGCAAGTTCTAGTTCGACATTTGTTGTGTTATTATTGGGATTTGCCGCAGTTCTATACACCAATCCTCATTGGCGTAGAAGGTGGCTAGATCGAGTTGAAGATTGTATGTTTGCATGTTATTACTTCATTTATGATTCATAAGAAAGTTGTCCATGCTCTTCCATAAACAAGATCTCCTTAAGAACATGTGATAGAATTAATGAAACTAGATTTTGTATGTACTTACGTACTTCTTTTTTAATGTATGTACGATGATGTATAAAAAACTCTACTAATTTTAAGTGTTTTCATAAGTTATTTAGGAAAAAAAGTTGATGTGACATCCTTTTATGCAAGTTCTAGTTAAAACTAGCTAGAATGTAAATATGATAAGTAAACAAGTAAATGATTTGATCAAATTCAATGAAGTGAAATTGGTTGATTTTAGGATACACCACATGGATGATATAGTTGACTTATCATTAGACTAAATGGAACAACCCTTGTGAATCGATTTAACTTGGCTATAGCAATTCATAAGCACAAATTACCTCAACTCTTCTTAGATATTAAAATAGTTAGAGGAGCTCTAACACATTCACTTAATTAAAGTCACAAAATCAATGAAACATATAATCTTGTGAAAATCAATTAGCTTTGAGTTCTAAGAGTTATCAAGTCCAAAAGATAATCAAATGCTTACATTATCATTATGAAGGAAATATTTCCATGGTCTAAATGAAATGAAAACAAACATATAAACCATTTGCTGCTTACTAATTTGAAGGTCCATTACTTAACCAAGAAATTAGTCAACAAAAATAAGCATTCATCCATCTAAGTTCATGATCAAAGATAAAAAACACAACAAGATGTTTAACTAGAAAACATTTCCATAAACTTCAAACACAAGACAATAATAAGTCTTCAAAGTAACTAATCATCCATGGATTAAACCCTAATCAACCAAATGAAAATCTAGCCAAGCATGGCCAAAATAAAAGTAATGCAAGATAGTTTAGTGATACCAAACATTGTTCTAAGTGAAAGATGGAAAGAAAATAACACCAATCTTCAATTCTTCAACTTCTTCTCCAATATTCTTGAGAGCAAAAATGATAGGTTTTCTTCAAGAGGTGATAATAAAAAAAATGTCCCAAAAACTCCAGCAAATAAGGCTCATTTCTGGATTCAAAAAGTTGCACAAAAACTACCCACAAACTTTCCACAAGTAGAGTCAACAAGTCACAACTCGGGATCAATTAATCATAATTCACGTGGACCGCGTATGGGTCCACGCGGACCGCATGGGTCTCGCTGATTGTGGGACTTGGGCCATTTAAAATACAATCTAGCCCAATATTCTCATTCACACTTTAGCCCACATGCATAACTCTTGAGAGCCCAACTGTTCCATTCCAAAGCCTCCAATGATTGGTCCAATGCTCCCTCAATCTTCCATAGCTCGAATCCGTGTCGTCTCATCATCATTCTCGCTCAAAAATTAAGTCCAACTTGATTTCTTGTTTATGCTGACACAAAGCTCAATCGCACCACTTCAAGTCCACAAGTAAACCGCAAGCCTCCAAAAGTCCCGCACTCCTTCCACACCTCCAATAACAAATAGTCTTCGATAAATCCTGCAAATAAGCTCAAAAGACTGGAAAACACTCGATAAAGGAGAAAAATAACAAACTGAGAAAATATGCATGAAGATGAACTAAAATGAGATGGTTTTAACTAAAAATAAATTATGAAAAGAAGTAATAAAAACGAAACTATCAGATTTGTTGCAATTCAATACACAAATCCTCATTGGCGTAGAAGGTGGCTATGTATGATGATTGGTGGGATGTCAAGCCACCAAACAAATTACACCATTTTGCTTGCAATTAAAATGTAATATGATGATAAAAAGAAGATCAAGTTCATGGGGAATTGGTTGTATTTAACTACCAATGCAATCCAAATTAACATCTGAAATAAAACTAATTTAAACTAAGGGCGGGGGGTTGTGATTTGTTTGAAAACTAAAAGACTTGCAAACATTAAATGCTTGTAATTAGGCAAGATGGTGAGATGTTCAAATATGAAAAATAATTGGTCAACTAAGATAATTCACGTCTAGGAATATTTATGTGTTTATCATTTGGATTCAATATGTAAGCTTATCGTTCAACCCAAATTTGTTCTAGCAATCATGAAACATGATATACCAAAATTCCTCAAAGGTAGTATGGAGGTTGGGAAAACCCACAACACTCTTTTAATCAAGGTCAAGGATCCAATTGAAGCAATTGAATCCAAAAAAATGATTTTCCTTAAGAATAAAGGAATTCTCAATTCCAAAAGGATGTCAATGTTTACACAACCATAAATGAGTCATGGCCCATAAGCTCGAGATGATACCATCATAAAACTCTTGTTCTATATCAATTCAATGATCATTTACTTAATGAAAGAAAAAGACTAACAATTACTCAACAAATAGTCAAATACCAAGCTCACGAACAAAAGTATTGAATAAACATAAGAATGAAGAACCATGAATCATAAACATGACCTAAATAACAAACACATTTGAATCCTTCAAAACTTACAAATATCCAGGGGTTTTTAGCCCAAGTCAACCAAAATAAAGTACCTAGCCACCCATGGCAACAAGACAATGATCAACAATGTGTTTTAACATCAAGGATTTAACAAATACTAGAAGAATGAGATGATAAATGCTTTTTACCCTCCATAATCATATGAAGCTGCTCCAATGGTGGTATCTTTAAATTTGGGGAATGCAAGACCTAAACCCCAAAGTAAATGATAGGCCAAATGACCAAAATGCCTCCGAGAAGGCAGTTGCACGAGTACCTATGCAGAGCTACACAAGTGGAGATGTAACGCCTGCGTTTCCAGGTTAGACATTTTCATTGATGTAATAGTCTAGGTTAACCTTTGTAACTCGTTTTGAAATAATAAGAGCGTATTATTTGTGTATTATGTGTTTCGTGCTTAATTGCTTAATTATGTGATTTGATTAATTAAGAATAAAATAAGCATCAAAATTAAAGTATGAGATAAGCCCGGTATCTTTGCATAAATATGTAATGGTCAAAACAAGGATTCCGAAGATATAAAGAATGCCAAAATCCGAGTTATAACGAAGAAGTTATGACCTGTCGAAGTTTCGCGACAGAACCGGCAACGCTGAATGACGTAAAAAGTGAAATTTATGTTAGAGCGATATTTAGCCTTAGTGATCTAAACGAAAGTCGTAGAGTTTGTTAAACCGAGAGCGTGCATAAAAAGAACGCCAAAATCTGACTTCGTATGAAGAAGTTATGATTTTTCGAAGTTTCGACTTAGCAGTATGCAACCCGAATACTCGATTTGAGATCGAGCGGTTTTTAGCCGAAACAATCTAAATGAGAATCGAAGATCTCGTTGTTAGTAGCGAAACGATGAAAAGTTAGGCGAGAACGGACGTCGGACGAATAAGTTATGAATTTATAACGAAGTTTTCCTGTCCCGGCCTACTAAAAGTAAATAATAAAAATAAAGTCAAAATTAGTCGACGAAGTCTAAATGAAAGTTGTAGAGTGTACTCTCACCTACGCGTGGACATAAAGAACGTCAAAAACGGAGTTCGTATGAAGAAGATATGAATTTTCAAAGTTTATTAAATAATTAATATTTAAATTAAATTATTTATTCCGATATTATCTGAAGAGGAGTCACCGGACTCATCCGAAGTACGCCCAACATACCGCGAAGCATGACGCACCTCGCACTCGAGTTCTTCGGATGACGCATGCAGTGACGATTTCGGAGGATTACGCCCCGCGTAAGGCTGTATGCCCAACGTACGGCGAGGCCTCAACCTCCTATAAATAGGATGCGAGGGTTCCGGGCATATTTGCTCAATTCTTCTCTTTTTCGTGCCGAATCTCTGCGTGTGAACCCTTGAAGCCATCCGACACCCCGGATCTCATATCCAAGTTAAGAAGGAAGTTTTACGCTCCCGAGATCCCGAGAAGTGCGATTCCCGTGCCGAAGCTCTGCCTGCGAGAAGTTCGATTTTTGTGGAGATCTTCCAGATCTGCCGAAGAATACTTCTACTGTGAGCCGTAGTGCTGTCCGATCATCTTCTGATCAAGTGAGTGTGTGGTTACTTTCTTCCAACACAACATTATGAAGTATTTTATATAAAATACGTGCTATGTGTATATATCTTCTTGTTATATGTGTGAATGTATATTCACTCTCTTATATCTCTTAGATCTGATTTATTCTCTATGAAATACATGTTATGTGTGTGTGCCTCATCTGTTATGTGGAATATGTAATGATTAAAGCATGCTATACAGGTTTTTTTAACTATGTATAAAAATGTATATTTTTATCTACTAATATGTTGGGTAGAACATGGGTAGATAGTTGGTGTGTAATAAATAGATGAGAGGCCTCGATGTTGTTTTTGATTCAGTCATCTAGCGGAGTTTAGATGACGACCATAGACTTTTCTAGACAGTCTTGTGGAACGATAGCAGGTTCGCCACCTGTAGGTGTTAATGAACTTGGGTGTTCATTCGCTGTACTCCATCCCCCTCATGGTTGCCTTATTTGACATATATTGCTGGGAAACCCCCGAATGCATGTGTTGTCACCCCGGTGAAATATTCTAAGACTAGGTCCCTTGTGTTAGTTGTTTTAGGGACGTAAAGTGAGAATAACGGGAATGGGTAATTGGGTTATTGTTGGTTGGTGGAATTAAATATAATTATTTATTGTGGGTTGAAAACCCTATATGCTCACCAAGCTCCCAAGCCTGACCCACTCAGTTTTATTTGTATTACAGGAAGTGGAGCAAGGGCATAAGATGGATGAATCATCAAATTGTTTTGTTTACAAGTCTGTATATATTTATATTTGTTGAACGACTTGTAATGTTATCGTTTATGCTTTATGTCTGTATCGGAACATGATATCCCGAGTTTTGATTATATAATGAAAATAAATTTCTTGATGAAATGCTTTGGTAAATATTATTTTATCATACTTTATTTTTGGGAACAAATTCCTCAACTCTTTCAAATCAAAAGGATTTACTCTGAAATTATTTTAAAAGCATAAATGAAAATCGGTCTTTTTTGGCTGTAATTTTG